CATACGAACTCCAGTACGCCGATATGGAGATGATGAAGAAGAAGAGCATATCAAATTCTCCCCTCTTGTGAGACAGTATGTCAGCCAGACATTTTGTCCTTTGATTTTGCATTGCATCGAAAAGTGCAGCTCAAAGATTCTTAAAAATACTGGTACTTTACAATAAGGCTCAATTCATTAACATTAGCTAATGCATTAGGTATTATCAACTAACAATAAACAAGTTTTACAGCAATTATTAATCCAGGTTAATATTAATTTATGAATATCTTCTCTGTGTGAATATTTGCTGAGTGTCCCTCTTTCTGACAGGGAGTCTATGGAAACATCTTCAGATACAGATTCTATCGGGTCCTCCATCAACAGAATGTACAGCACCCTTGATGTTTCTCCTCGAAGAAAATACATTTTCTCTGACAACATGCCCCGAAAGATCTCCCTGGATGAACAAGAGGACAGCCCCTCCCTCAAGATCTCCGAGGAGGAGATGGATGAATCTTTGAACGCCTTAAGGAAAGTTTCACGAGACGAACTTGATACTCCATCAAGAAATGCATCTAGAGATGAACTAGAGGCCACTGTGGACCATCCTAAACAATTGGGTAGAGGAGAAACTGAGGCTAGCATCGATTCAAGGAAATTCCCCAGGGATCTACCTTTGGATTCCACAATGAGGTACTACTCTACAGAAAAGATGTGTCCAGCAGCGATCAGCATGGATAGTCAGAGACAACGATTACTCAGAGACAGAAAAGACCATATGGACAGCATTTCAAAAGTGATACCAAAAGCAGAGCTCAATATAGACACCACAAGTGGAACAAGATATTCAAATGCCTTAATGAACACTTCCATTAAACACAAAGAAAACCTGGATTTTCCAACCAGTATCCAGCGAGGAAGAGTGTTTAGGGAAAGCTCCTTTGATGCCACCTTTGATAGTTCAGTGGAAAGCTCTAAACACTTAAAAATGTTAGGCAAAACATATTCATCTAAAGACATCCCTTCACGAATGATGGCACAAGATGATTTTGATGTGTCCACGGATTTTGAAAGACAGAAAATAAGAGATATTTCAATGGATACGGCTTCAAAAAACATACTGAAAGAGGAGTTTGAGAGAAGCAAATCCTTTAAAGAGAACAGGGAAATTCCCTCAAAAAAAATCTCTCGAGATGAGCAAGACATTGTAATGGAGATGCAACGAATACAACGCAAGATAGACAGCTCTGTGGAAACTCCCACTGGTAAAATACAGAGAGAGATGGTGGGTCTATCTGTGGAGGCTCCAAGGTGTAAGATACCACAGGAAGAATTCCTGGTTACGAACCCTGGACAGTTAGGCCCGCCTGACCTTACCGTTTGCTCCTTGATGCTCTGGAAATCAGCCTCAGACTCGCTCAGCACACTAGTGTATGACGGCATTCTAGAAAAGTCCTACGGGAACCCTCTCATGCCTAGTCCTGATGATCTCAGTCACGCGGCTTCAGTGTCTTGTTCTTCCCAAAGCCTTCTCGGAAATGAAGGTCAATCTGCAAATGTGTCTACTTCAGAATTTGGTGGTAAAGACAAGGGCAAGACATCTTCAAAGCTCAAGAATATATTCAAAAAGAAAAAGGATTTAGAAAAATATAAAGACTCATAAAGGTCAACAACAAGTAGGAATTCAGACACTTTTAAAAGGCCAAAGTCTCTTATAAAACTGGCTTGGAAAGCTGCCTTGTAAACTAGAACATAAGCATAGCTAAACATGCTAAATGGAGTAACCTTGGATTTTCTTGCAAAAGGTTTTTCTTAGATAAGCAGGGCCCTCAGCTAAATGGATGCAATCTTGTGAAACAAGGAGCAGAACTGCACTTTTCCAACTTGGATTCAGAGATACTGTATTACATAAGATGTTCTGTCCTGTGAAGCTGCCAAGATATTAATTGCACATTTTTCTTTCTTTATTGTGGGATCTATTCATCATTTGAAATAATTTGCAATGACATGGACATGTGGACTTTTTGCTCTGATGAACTGAGACTTTTGCATATTAACAAATCATTGTAGCATTGAAGACACAATCACAACATGCTCAACCTATTTATTAGATTTACTAAGGTTTTCACAAAATGTCAGGAAAAAAGAAGACAAATCCAAATGACTACTAAAGGTTGCCTAAGATACTGTATTTACAACAGGACTAGCAAAAATTGTATATAAAAATATGAGCCTATTATTCATAAATGTGTTTCAATGTATTTAATTTGATTCTAATGAAGCTTTAATTAATTGCTAGTTAATACAGATGGAGCTAGGTAATAATCTAATAGGATTATATTAAAATGTTTACATTTTTGCTAGTTCTCATCATCCAAAGTTAAAAAGTTGCAGTTAGATGAAGGATATTTGTATTTATATGTTTGATTGGGCATCAAACACTGACAATTCTTTTATTCAATGTAGTTTATTGACGTTTTTGACCTTAGATTTTTTATGGCCTGTGTAATATTTCACATTTTAAGTCAGTTAAGTCTGATTTGGTGGTGTCTCTGATTTTATTGTACACCACTTTGAGCAACATTTTTTTTTTCAGTGTGCAGTAAAATAGATTTGACTTGGGGAACTATTCTTCTTGAAATGACATTTATCCTAATGCCATTTCAGATATTTTGTGGGATCCTGCCGTTTTCCAAACATGGTTTTCCAAACATTGAATGTGTTCTTGTGAAAATATGAAATCTAAATTAGATTTAAAAATAATATTAAAGGAATAGTTTAACCAAAAATGACAATTTGCTAAATATTTACTCACCCTCAGGCCATCCAAGATGTAGATGAGTTTGTTTCTTAATCAGGAGAAATGTAGCATTACATCACTTGCTCACCAGTGGATACTCTGCAGTGAATGGGTGCCGTCAGAATGAGAGTCCAAACGGCTGATAAAGCATCACAATAATCCACAAAACTCCAGGCCACCAATTAACATCTTGTAAAGAGCTCAGTGTTTGTAATAAACAAATCCATCACAAACATGTTATAACTTAAAACGAGTCGTCTATCCATAATGTCGCTTTCTCCAATGAATAAGTCATCTGACTCAGGACAGAACTGTGCACAGATCCAACACAATTTATAAGTGAAGACCGTTCAAAAGAGTTCTAAACAAATATGCTGGCAGGTTTTGGTCTGAGAGGACAAAAGGGAATAGACATTTTCACTGGAGGAGCGTTATTATGAATTATAGACTTACGGATTGTGGAGTATTTTGGTCAGAAGCAACGGTTTAAGTTTAAGTGCCTTGATTGATTTGTTTCTTACAAATACACAGCTTTTCACTTCACAAGAGGTTAATTGATGGACTGGAGTGGCGTGGATTACTTGTGGATTATTGTGATGCTTTATCAACTGTTTGGACTCTAATTCTGACGGCACCCATTCACTGCAGAGGATCCACTAATGAGCAAGTGAAGTAATGCTACATTTCTCCAAATCTGTTCCGATGAAGAAAACTCATCTACAACTTGGATGGCCTGAGTAAATTTCAGCAAATTTCCATTTTTGGGTGAACTATCCCTTTAATCAAAATGATTAATTTGATTAAACCTTGCTGGAAATGTGCATTATGGCAGTCAGGGGTTTACAGCTATTAATCACCTTGAAAATAGCCATAAAATATGTCCAGGCTGCTACAATTATCACTTCAGAGGCAAAGTTAGTGTCTGAATTTGCCCAAATTTGCACGATAAATGACAATGTCTGTGAATATTTTAGATAAAGAATATGATTGAAAATAGTTGGCCTATGTAGGCCTATTTATGTCCAGGTGGAAGTTTTAACCAAGGTCAAGTCTGCTTTATTGTCAATTCTTCCACATGTACAGCACATACACACAGAGAATTGAAATTGCGTTACTCTCAGACCCTTGGTTTATAACTTAAAACGAGTCGTCTATCCATAATGTCGCTTTCTCCAATGAATAAGTCATCTGACTCAGGACAGAACTGTGCACAGATCCAACACAATTTATAAGTGAAGACCGTTCAAAAGAGTTCTAAACAAATATGCTGGCAGGTTTTGGTCTGAGAGGACAAAAGGGAATAGACATTTTCACTGGAGGAGCGTTAGGTATAGACTTACGGATTGTGGAGTATTTTGGTCAGAAGCAACGGTTTAAGTTTAAGTGCCTTGATTGATTTGTTTCTTACAAATACACAGCTTTTCACTTCACAAGAGGTTAATTGATGGACTGGAGTGGCGTGGATTACTTGTGGATTATTGTGATGCTTTATCAACTGTTTGGACTCTAATTCTGACGGCACCCATTCACTGCAGAGGATCCACTAATGAGCAAGTGAAGTAATGCTACATTTCTCCAAATCTGTTCCGATGAAGAAAACTCATCTACAACTTGGATGGCCTGAGTAAATTTCAGCAAATTTCCATTTTTGGGTGAACTATCCCTTTAATCAAAATGATTAATTTGATTAAACCTTGCTGGAAATGTGCATTATGGCAGTCAGGGGTTTACAGCTATTAATCACCTTGAAAATAGCCATAAAATATGTCCAGGCTGCTACAATTATCACTTCAGAGGCAAAGTTAGTGTCTGAATTTGCCCAAATTTGCACGATAAATGACAATGTCTGTGAATATTTTAGATAAAGAATATGATTGAAAATAGTTGGCCTATGTAGGCCTATTTATGTCCAGGTGGAAGTTTTAACCAAGGTCAAGTCTGCTTTATTGTCAATTCTTCCACATGTACAGCACATACACACAGAGAATTGAAATTGCGTTACTCTCAGACCCTTGGTGCATACAGATAACACTACAGTAGAACATAAATACAGATAGATACAGATTAAATACAAAATACAACTATACAAATAAGGTAAATATATATAAAGCACAAGGCATATGGCAGATAGAGTGCAAAACCAGTAAAGTAAACAACAGTGCAGATATAAATTCAGCTTCAGTTAGACGTGAACTGATTTGCACAAATGATCTTCTGTGATGTGCTGACAACAATATCATATTTGATACATTTTAAAAATTGTAAAGATCACTTTATATCAGAATGAAAGTGTATTTTTGGACTATTTTACTTTGAGTGTTTTATGAAATGAAACTTTGTGTGAGTCCAACAACATGATGATAGACATAATGTGTACTAATTCAAATACTAATGAATTTGTTAAAACCCACAATCTAAGCAAAAGGAAAAAATCCCCGACCTTTAAGCATTTCAAACCCCTTTATCAGAAATCCCTCCCACCACAGTCAGCCAGGCGACATTTACAGTGAAGACCCTTTGCTTTTATCTTATCAGTCACCGAGATGGAGCGAGCAATAGTTATTGTCATCGCGCTTGTATGTAAGTCCATTTTAATGTTTTTTGTTGTTGTTGTGTTCTTTTGATTTTATTGACCGTCCTCTTTCAAATATATGAACTTACATATACTACGTATTTTTGCTTTAGCAGGTATTTTGTTCTGTGAACAGCGGAGAGTCTTTGGGGCAGAAGTGGACATGAGAGTTAAAGCAGGAGACAGCATCACTCTCTACTCTGACTGTGTCATACCATTAGGATCACACATTTTTTGGTGGAGAAACTGCTCACATGAGCATCAACCATCTCTGTTCATAGAGGCTGAAAACCTGTTCCAGAGGACTTTTCCACGTTTTAGTTTCGTGCCCAACAGCTCCAGTAACTCCTATGATCTACATATTACAAATATCAGTGTCTCTGATGAGGGACTGTATTATTGTGCAATAAAAGAAAGAAATGTACACGGCATCGTAGGCTCTGAGTACCAGTATGGAAACAGAAGGACTCGTCTATCTCTCTTGGGTAAGAAAATATCCTGGTGTTTAAGATGTTTCTTTTAGTAAACTGTAAAGAAACTGTTGGCTATATTTGATAAAACCTTGTCAATTTTTTATGCTGATAATATACTTTTTAAAGAATTTTTTTTCATGAAATGGAAAAAATGCAAAATAGCAAAAATTTGGACACAAACCACACATTTATCTACACTTTCACAAAAGGAAATACCCATATTTTTTTCAAGTGATGTGTGTGCAAGATAGATAGATAGATAGATAGCAACACAGAACACAGTAAAACATCCTTTAAAATATATGATATAAATATAAAATATATGAAACTGAGAGTATGTCTATACAAAAATGTGTACTTACTTTCACTTATGTTCCATTTAGAGCCAGCGTCTCCTCATGCTGAGCAGTTCAACACCTCCTCCACACCTTCTGTATCAGACCTCTGCTGGAGTCCGCTGTTCAGTGTGTGTCCAGTGTGTGTTCTCCTCTTCTCCGTCTGTGTTTTCTGCCTCTGTCGGAGGAAAACTACAGGTGATCATTCACTCCTGAACTCAAGAGTTATGTGCCAGACAGCAGCTTCGAGCATTCTGATGTAGCAAGATTTGCTTTACATTATCATCATATCACAAAATGAACAGTATAAAATGTCACAATTTTAGAGGTTTGTGAAAAATGAAATGCATTTTTAAATGTAATCTGAATTAAGCTATTTTAATTATAGTTGCTGCAGCAACACAGACTGAGAACAGATATTACCAGGTACTGCATCACATGTGCACATCCTGGCATCCCAGTATAACATTTCTTTTGACAAACATAGTTTGTATTTTGTATACTGTACAATAACAAAATAGGCCTACTGTTTTTTCACAGAGTGGAGATGAATTGTGCTACGCCTCATTGAACACACTTTCCATGCTGAAGAAAAATACACTGCAGAATTCAGACTTCTGTACTTACACGGAGGTCAGAACCAAGAGAACATAAAGAGAGGAGTCTGGAACTCTCTAGGGCTTGAAATATTTAACCCTCGGTTATTCTAACCCCCTGGATTTTGACAAACATAGTTTGTATTTTGTATACTGTACAATAACAAAATAGGCCTACTGTTTTTTTCACAGAGTGGAGATGAATTGTGCTACGCCTCATTGAACACACTTTCCATGCTGAAGAAAAATACACTGCAGAATTCAGACTTCTGTACTTACACGGAGGTCAGAACCAAGAGAACATAAAGAGAGGAGTCTGGAACTCTCTAGGGCTTGAAATATTTAACCCTCGGTTATTCTAACCCCCTGGTAAACGCAATCCTGGCTTCTTGCTTCACACGGTTCATTATAATTAATCCGGGGATAATAAAAGAAACGGATGTACATTCCGAATCCCTGGGTTAATATTCTTATTTGCATATTTGCGGTGTCAGTGTCATTGATTGGACAAATGCAGCAACTGACCCGTTTACATAATGACTCTAGCATTGCGCATCCTCATACTTTATTTCATATCTATATCATATTTCAGACTTGATTGCAATGTAAGAATGAAACAGGCTCTTCTTTATTTCTTCACTGACGTGTTTTTACCATTTTTAAGACGCCTCAGATGCTAAAATCCGGGGTTAAGCGCACTGAAAAGCCCTAATCCTTAAAGATGCAATACAAAGTCTTTATTGACTACTTGTTACTTCACTTAAATGTTTACCAATCCCGCCTGTGTAAATGTGTCCATTGTGAATGCATTTTATTTATGTAAAGAAATCAGAACCAATGTTCCCTCTAATTTTTTTTCTTTCTTGCAGAGCAAAACTTTTCTCTGTTGGGCGGACATTTAGGCCACCTGAGCAAAAACATTATTTTTAAAAAATATTTTATAAACAAAAAACAGTAACCAACATAAGATAACAAAATACATATATTTACACCCACACACACACAAAAAAAGCAGGACTGCCTCAATTAACAAATATATACAACATAATATTCACAATTGTTTTATAATAGCAAAAACATTCTTTATACCAGACCTGTACAGCACACATACAAACATTTTTTAACTTCAGTGTGCTATTTATATTTCATTTGACCCTTGATGTAATTAAACGATGCACATTTTAGGTTACCTGAGAAAACATTTTTAGTGCTGTGTTACCAAGAAATTCTATTAAAAATCATTTTTTTTAAATCTCTTACGCAGAACAGTTCAATTCTTTATAACATAGGCTAATAATATAATATGAACAAAATGAAGCAGCTATTGTCCATGAATTCCCTTTTTGAGGTCAATTATTTATTAGGTTTATAATAATATAATATAGGCTAATATAATATAATATAAAACCAAACAAGCATTTAAACTGATAGAATTGAATAGAAAACAAACTGAAACTTTTAAACTGAGATCTGTAAGCTAAATATTTTTAAAAAATGTGAATTCTTTTAGAGTTTGCACACTACTACACCTGTGTGTGTAACTGTACATGTCTGGGAGTTTTGTTACCGTTCTGTGCTCATCATCCGCTATTTCCATCTTTCAAATATGACACGCGCGCTGCATAGAGGGAACACTGGTAAGAACGTACCATAAAAAAAAACATGAAACAAGTCCGTAATCATGATTATTGTTATAATAAATGTTTATACTGATGTACTGTCTGTTTTTTTCACAGTTGATCACTATTACATACCCTTGCTGTCTCCTCCTTCACACAGATGCAGGGCTGTTGTAGAAAAACACAGAACAAACTAATTTAATATATACAAAATATATCTAAAACTATAGATTTATTTTTTATCTTTTTGAGTATTTAAAAAAGAAATCGGGTTCTCTTGAAAGGGTTTGTTTAGACTCCTCTGCATGTTGACATGATCATTTTTGGCTAATTTCATCAAAATTATATTTCATTCTCAGTCAGGAAGGAAACCACAAAAGATTTCCACTTGAGCATGCAACAGACTGAGGGTCACACAAATGTGAAAACGAATAGAACCAAACATCTTGGCAAAAGTGTGTTAAATGTGCCTGCATGCTGCTGATGCAGTGACTTAATTATATTAGAATGATTTCTGAAGGATTATGCAACACTGAAGAAATGACTGTTTTACAGTATTTTTTAATCAAATAAATGCTGCCTCTGTGAAAAATGATCAGCCCCAAACGTTTGAAAGGTAGTGCAGCACTGACATTGACATAATTCCACAAGACCTTCATGTCCTCCATTGATTGTTCCACATATTCTGTGGCAAAAGTAGACGCGTTAGCAGCACTGACTGTAAAAGCAGATGATATTAGAAATACTACCCATGCTTGTTTCCATTTTAGAACAAAACTTTTACTTAAATATTCAAATGAGTGTCAGGAAATGAAGCAGGGTAAACCAAACATATTTACGTATATTCAAATTTGAACCCATCATGAATAAAAACCTTATATTCATGCCACTGATTAAAACAGTCACGCTTGGGTTGAAAGCACAATGGCACTTCACAAGTCACACACATGACTGGAGTTTTCAGGTGGCAGAGCTTGCACTTGCGCCTACCGAGAGCACTGTCCGGCTTGAAGTGCTTGGGCCTGTGGGTTCCTTCAGGAAGTGATGATTCGGGAGATGAGGGAGGAGCTGAAACAGGAGCGGAAGGAGAAGACGAGATGGGAGCCGAGGAAACTGATGCAGATTCAAACCTGTTCTCAGCATCCATTTCTGTAAGCTCTAAAACAAGCGTCTCAAAGAATGTCTTCCGTGTCAGAGTTTTTTGTTTTTTTCTCTTGGCCGCCAGTTCATGCAAAATGAACGCATTCTCTACGGCAATGTCCAAAAGGTGATAAAAAACACACTGATACCACTTGTTTGGTTTATGTAGAACTCTGTAATGTCCAGTGATGAAACTGGATGGATCCACTGTCCCCACATTCCTGGGTGGAAAGAAAAAAGACAATATTTTAAACTGAAAGGTTAACTTTAAACTTAAAAGGTGAAAATTCCTGTGAATAACACACAGGCAAAACACAATGACACAAGTGGCCTCTTAAACAAAACTAGTTGAACAGTTTCGGTTTCAGAGCAGGTTTAGAGTTGACAAAACCCAACAAATTCAAAACTGTTTAGGTTCTGTGGATTCACAACACTCGCTATAAATGCTCTGTCAACTCAGTGTGTGGTCCAGAGTTTGAATGCAGCTAACAGCTAATCGCACAATAACACTGAATTTAATAATACTGAATTTAATTTATATAGGTTCAAAAAGAACTTAAAAGGAAACAAGCTTTTTTATATAAATTCTAAAGCTTGTATTTATATGTACATTTTTATATTAAAGTAGGAGTTGAATATTGTCTATACAGTGGGTATAGAAAAGAATCACCCCCCTTTATAATAATCACATTTTGTTGCTTTGCAGCCTGAAATGAAGACGGGCGTAGTTTTTGTTTTATCCAGCTGCATTTACTCAGTGCAACTTATAACATCCAAGCGAAAGATATAACGGTAACCTGTTAGAAGAAGAAAAAAAAAGAAAAAGAAAAAAACATTCACAGAGTTGGAAAAAGTATCACCCCCTTGTGTCCGCATTCTGTTGAACCACCTTTTGCTTTAATTACAGCCTTTAGACTGTTGGGATGTCTCTACTAACTTTGCGCTCTTCTTTGCAGAACTGCTCAAGTTCAGTTAAATTTAATGGTGATTTTTTAACTTCAGTGTGCTAATTATATTTCATTTGACCCTTGATGTAATTAAACGATGCACATTTTAGGTTACCTGAGAAAACATTTTTAGTGCTGTGTTACCAAGAAATTCTATTAAAAATCATTTTTTTAAATCTCTTACGCAGAACAGTTCAATTCTTTATGACATAGGCTAATAATATAATATGAACAAAATGAAGCAGCTATTGTCCATGAATTCCCTTTTTGAGGTCAATTATTTATTAGGTTTATAATAATATAATATAGGCTAATATAATATAATATAAAACCAAACAAGCATTTAAACTGATAGAATTGAATAGAAAACAAACTGAAACTTTTAAACTGAGATCTGTAAGCTAAATATTTTTAAAAAATGTGAATTCTTTTAGAGTTTGCACACTACTACACCTGTGTGTGTAACTGTACATGTCTGGGAGTTTTGTTACCGTTCTGTGCTCATCATCCGCTATTTCCATCTTTCAAATATGACACGCGCGCTGCATAGAGGGAACACTGGTAAGAACGTACCATAAAAAAAAACATGAAACAAGTCCGTAACGAAAGATATAACGGTAACCTGTTAGAAGAAGAAAAAAAAAGAAAAAGAAAAAAACATTCACAGAGTTGGAAAAAGTATCACCCCCTTGTGTCCGCATTCTGTTGAACCACCTTTTGCTTTAATTACAGCCTTTAGACTGTTGGGATGTCTCTACTAACTTTGCACTCTTCTTTGCAGAACTGCTCAAGTTCAGTTAAATTTAATGGTGAGCGTTTGTGGACTGCAGTCTCCAAGTCATTCCACAGATTTTCAGCGGGGTTTAAGTCTGGGCTCTGACAGGCCATGCAAGCACATTCAACAACAGTGTGGTCAGTTTTGCTGTGTGCTTTGGGTCATTGTCATGTTGGAAGGTAACCCTTCTTCCCATTGACAACTTTCTGGCAGAGGGCAGCAGATTTTCCTCAAGAATTTGATGGTATTTTGCCCCATCCATTTTTCCTTTTATCGTGACAAGTGCTCCAGTCGCTGCTGCAGAGAAACACCCCATAACAGGATATCACCACCTCCATGCTTTACTGGAGGAATGCTGTTATTTGGATGGTAAGCTGTATTGGATTTCCGCCAGGCATATCATTTGGTTTTGAGGCCAAATAATTCAATTTTAGTCTCATCTGCCTCAGAATCACCAAGATGTGTTTTGGCAAAGCCCAGTCATGACTGCATGTGGCTTTTCTTGAGGACTGGCTTTTTTCATGCAACCCTCCCATACAAGCCACATTTGTGGATAATTTGTGATATTGTTGTCACATTCCCACACAATGACCACTCTTTGTCATAAATTCCTACAACTGCTTCAGAGTTGCTATAGGGCTCTTGATCGCCTCTCTTTCATCCAGTTTGGAGCGAAGTCCTCATCCAGGGAGGCTCTGTGTTGTACCAAATACCTTCCACTTCTTAATAATAGACTTCACTGTGCTTCTAGGCATTGATAAAGCCTTTGACAATTTTTTTTTGTATCCATCTCCTGTCTTGTGCCTGTCCAAAACTTTCTCCTGGAGATCTTTTGACAGTGCCTTGCCACCCATAGTTGATTGTTTGCTTCAGTTATACTACCAAGGCCTGAAATGCTCCAGGAAAGCTCTTTTCATGCTGAGCTAATCAAAATGACCACAGCTGATCACAGTTGAATGTCAAATGGCTTTGTGAGCCGTTGAGAAGATGATTAGCTACACCTTACTGAGTTTACAAGTCATTTTTAGGAGGGGGTGATCCTTTTTCCAACTCAGTGATTCTGTTTTTTAAATAAATTTTTTGACATGTTGGTGTTATACCTTTCACTTGGATGTTCTAAGTTGCACTGAGTAAATACAGCTGGATAAAACAACGTCTTCATTTCAGGCTGCAAAGCAACAAAATCTGATTATTTTAAAGGGGGGTAATTTTCTATGCCCATTGTATATACACTAATCCATCCTCTTGAACCCGAAGAAAAACAATAATAATAATTTTTGCTCAAAATACACTCAAAGTTACCTAGAACTGGCTTCATGAAACAGGCCAAAGGACTATCACTGAAATTCTACTAACCTGTTGTAGTCCAGCACCACAGCTGGAATGGGAACCTCCTTAAGGGTCCGAAGTGCATCACCTTTCACCTTTCTCTGCACAGTATTACCTTCATAAGCTTTATGGAAGGTGGAGCACATCTGCACTTCCTGTGAGTCTTTCCACTCAATAAACAGAAGATTATCATCCCTGATCCAGCGCATGGTGCCGCGTGGAGCATTCTTCGACAATCTATTCACTGAGATTTTTGGGAAACCCTTTTGCTTCAGTTATACTACCAAGGCCTGAAATGCTCCAGGAAAGCTCTTTTCATGCTGAGCTAATCAAAATGACCACAGCTGATCACAGTTGAATGTCAAATGGCTTTGTGAGCCGTTGAGAAGATGATTAGCTACACCTTACTGAGTTTACAAGTCATTTTTAGGAGGGGGTGATCCTTTTTCCAACTCAGTGATTCTGTTTTTTAAATAAATTTTTTGACATGTTGGTGTTATACCTTTCACTTGGATGTTCTAAGTTGCACTGAGTAAATACAGCTGGATAAAACAACGTCTTCATTTCAGGCTGCAAAGCAACAAAATCTGATTATTTTAAAGGGGGGTAATTTTCTATGCCCATTGTATATACACTAATCCATCCTCTTGAACCCGAAGAAAAACAATAATAATAATTTTTGCTCAAAATACACTCAAAGTTACCTAGAACTGGCTTCATGAAACAGGCCAAAGGACTATCACTGAAATTCTACTAACCTGTTGTAGTCCAGCACCACAGCTGGAATGGGAACCTCCTTAAGGGTCCGAAGTGCATCACCTTTCACCTTTCTCTGCACAGTATTACCTTCATAAGCTTTATGGAAGGTGGAGCACATCTGCACTTCCTGTGAGTCTTTCCACTCAATAAACAGAAGATTATCATCCCTGATCCAGCGCATGGTGCCGCGTGGAGCATTCTTCGACAATCTATTCACTGAGATTTTTGGGAAACCCTTCCTGGTCGACAAAACAGGGCCACAAGCCCAGAACTTTTTATGCAAGAGGTCCCTGAAGAGTGTGGGGCTGGTGTAAAATTTGTCCACAAACAGTTTGTACCCAGAGCCCAACATATTTTCATCCACCAATGCCATAACAGACTCATAGCTCAGGCCCACATTCTGTGACGCACATGACTTCCCCTCGTAAATTAAGAAGTCCCACGTATAGCCACAGGTGCAGTCTGTCAGAGCAAAGAGTTTGTATCCTCTATCTGTAGATTTGTCTTCCATGGATTGTTTGAGACCAGTTCTAGGCTGTGCTGCCACTATTCTTTCATCAATGGTGATGTTCTGAAAGGGATGAAAATGGGTCTTACAGGCCTCTCGAATGAGTTGAGATAGAGGTAGAATTTTACCTAACCGTTCATAGGCTGCTGTTCCCTTCTTTAAGTAATTTTTCTCATCTTCGATGGTATTGCTGAAATGAAGAGTATTGGCAATTGCCACAAATTTTTGATAAGACATGACATGAGCAGGAAAGGATGGACTGAAGTACTGGGACTCCCTCCAATATTCTGTCAGTAAAGAGCACTTCAAAAGACCTGTGTAAATGACCAGTCCTATGTACGACTTCAAGTCTTTCAGAGAAAGGAAGAGCCAAGGATTACCCACATCCTTGCACTTGCTCCCATAGACATTTGTGTGCCCTACAATAGACTGCATCATTGTTTTTGGAAAGAACAGCTGAAAAAACTGGAGAGGACTGCTACAATTGCTTGGTAAAAACTTTGGTCCAGGTTCTTGGACAGGTGTGAAGTCTAGCTGAAGCGGTTCAACATCTGTTTCATCTAAGCTGCGCCACCTTTCTGTAGATAAGCCATCATTTTCACTCTCCCTGCCATCTCCTCCAGCAGCAGAGCATGTGGAAGACAGACGGGATCTCTTTCTCTGCTGTAGGTCGCAGTCCTCATCTGGTGAGTAAATATCAGGTGAAGGCCTATTCCATGGAACAAGAAGAAGAAAAAACCAATTAGCAAGGTTCTTCACAACCGTGTTGATTAAATGCCTGTGTTCACACCAACACAAATGTTCAGTCTGTTTTTGCATGCGATTTGTTGGTTCAGACAAATGCATAAAAATGGCAGTAGGTTCCACTTCTAGAAGAGCAGTTATTCCTCTACACAATGCAGCACTGCACAACTTTGTTACTAACCTGGGCTGCGTTTCCCAAAAGCTTCGTAAGCCTAAGTAGTTCGTAAAAATGATCGTACGACTGATCTTAATATTACGGTCTGTTTCCCAAAAGCATCGTAACTTAAGTAGCACTTGAAAATCAATGTAGATCTATGAGTGCTCTGGGGTAATCGTAAAGCCCTAAGTGCATCGTAAGAAGACAGATTTACACGGTCACCTGCAGGACAATCGGCAGATTGCACCTTTAACTTTATTCAAGTGCAATGTGATTATAATATAAAGTTTTAATTGTACTTTATTGTACACTTTATTACTCGTTTTTATGAATTTATAAATGAAATAATTAAAAAGGGCAGAAAAAATAGAAATACACTTCTAAATTAAATGACTGAACAAAAAAATGAATAAAAGAAGTAATGTAGGAAAGTGTATTATTATTATGTAAAGTATAATATTACACGTATAAATATAATATAATAGTTATTATATCGGAGTTGTCTGGAACACAGCATTAGGTTAACATTTCAATAAACGAGCATGTCCTACAATTACGAGCCATTCTATAAGGTGACATTTCAGCACTTGACAAACGGATAGCGACTCCTAAGTAGCACTTAAAGCACGGTTACGTGTGCATTTTTGGGAAACGCATGTGAAACAATAACGAATGATCGTAAAATGACTCGTAGAAAACACTCTTAAGCTCTAAGATCAATCGTTATCGTTATTAAGATGCACAGACACATTAACTGCTGTTCATTCAAATATTCATCTTCATACTCATATTGTTGTACACAGGACTTTAAGACTTGTTTATGTTTAACAATTGCACAAGTACAAAGTCTCTCATGCTCTTCCATGAGCATGAGACCATGAAAAAAAAAAAGTTTATATGTTGAGTTTGTTAAAAGGTGATTTGTAGACACAGTAACACACAGGGAAGTCGTGGCCTAATGGTTAGAAAGTCGGACTCGTAACCCAAAGGTTGCGGGTTCGAGTCTTGTACCGGCAGGGATTGTAGGTGGGGGGGGGGGATGGACAGCACTCTCTCCCACCCTAAATACCACGACTGAGGTGCCCTTGAGCAAGGCACCAAACCCCCAACTGCTCAAAATGGCTGCCCACTGCTCCGGGTGTGTGTGTATTCACTGCTGTGTGTGTGCACTTTGGATCGGATAAATGCAGAGCTCTAATTCAGAGTATGGGTAGGCCACATCTCACGTCACTTTCATTGTCGATCTGTGGAGTGAAAAGTATTTTATTTTTATACTTAATTGTGTCAGAAGGCCCTAAATAGCATGTTGTTGCTGGTGTTTTATTATACATATATAAAAGCATAGTCCATTGCTATTATGACTATGGATTTTAAGATTATAAAAATAGTATTATTTGCTATGGATCTTCAATGATTTCATCAAATCCCCATTCTAACGTGCTGTTATGACAAAGTGCTGTTTGAAGGGGAAGTCCATACAATTACATTTCTTTGCCTCAAACATAATATTTAACCCACATTATAAATGTGAGTGCTAAAATACGGTGTTAAAAGAAAGTAAATGAGTCTCAGAAAAACTCACCAATCTAGAACAGGGTCAAGACCGTTCCTTAACATTTCCTCTGCTGTGCTGTCCACACTGCTGGCCACACTGTACTGGTCACAAACATACAGATCTTCATCATTACTGGCCACACTGTCCTCCACGCCATTCTCAGTACTTTTCTTTGGATCCATCGGAGAGTTGAGCAATCGATGCGAATGTATCCTGCTGAATGTAAGGTGAGTAAAACAGTGAATTAGTGGCCTCTGCATGTTTTAGGGAGTACAGACAAACCACACGCCACTGTAATCTCAAATTCATATATTATTTTTATTCCAATTTCCTATATAATGCCATACCGTTTAGCAGGCAAGTCGATGTTTATAGTGGCGTTGTTGACTACAGATAAGAATTTAAACTCAGTCAGTGTCTTTAAACGAACAAGACGGGCGCTTATAGTAAAGTTACTTAAACTTGAAGCCTGGTGGGTAAGCTGACAGCACCGCAAATAATATATAACAGTTTCGAAGATTAGCCGTAAAACTTTAAACAACTCACATGCTAAGGATATAAGCAACAATCACATACAAACTGTGTGTTCACTTGGTCTCCGCGCGGGAGTCACAGGAAGTGACGTATTTTTAAAATTATTATGATTATTATTATTTGAAATAACAGTAGGGGAATACAAAGTCTTACAAAAATATGAGTCTATAAAACACTACAACCCAAAAATTTCACATTTTTCAAAGATTAACTAAATATCGAATCAGTGTTGGGGAAAGTTACTTTTAAAAGTAATGCATTACAATATTGCGTTACGACCTAAAAAAAGTAACTAATTACGTTACTTAGTTACTTTTTATGGAACGTAATGCGTTATATTACTTTTGCGTTACTTTTTAAATATGAGCAGGGCTTGATTGTTTTTAATATAAGAAGTTCTATTCATAGCAACTATAGGCTAAAAGCCCTTTCACACCAAAAGTCATTTTTGCTTATTAGTATGGTTGAACTGGATCATCAAAGGTCAGCAGCAAAGATATTGGTTAATAAAATGGGATCAGATACATTTGTGTTATTTAACATATCTAATTATTGCAGGTTTGCGTCATATTCTGAGTTTGTGTTTCAGTGTTTTAATTAATTTTGATGAATACTAAATCTGTTTTTGGTGAGTGAGATGAATTAATGCACATTAACATTTAGTCTAGAACTACAGTAACATCATAGGTTGCGGGTTCGAGTCTTGTACCGGCAGGGATTGTAGGTGGGGGGAGTGAATGTACAGCACTCTCTCCCACCCTAAATACCACGACTGAGGTGCCCTTGAGCAAGGCACCAAACCCCCAACTGCTCAAAATGGCTGCCCACTGCTCCGGGTGTGTGTGTATTCACTGCTGTGTGTGTGCACTTTGGATCGGATAAATGCAGAGCTCTAATTCAGAGTATGGGTAGGCCACATCTCACGTCACTTTCATTGTCGATCTGTGGAGTGAAAAGTATTTTATTTTTATACTTAATTGTGTCAGAAGGCCCTAAATAGCATGTTGTTGCTGGTGTTTTATTATACATATATAAAAGCATAGTCCATTGCTATTATGACTATGGATTTTAAGATTATAAAAATAGTATTATTTGCTATGGATCTTCAATGATTTCATCAAATCCCCATTCTAACGTGCTGTTATGACAAAGTGCTGTTTGAAGGGGAAGTCCATACAATTACATTTCTTTGCCTCAAACATAATATTTAACCCACATTATAAATGTGAGTGCTAAAATACGGTGTTAAAAGAAAGTAAATGAGTCTCAGAAAAACTCACCAATCTAGAACAGGGTCAAGACCGTTCCTTAACATTTCCTCTGCTGTGCTGTCCACACTGCTGGCCACACTGTACTGGTCACAAACATACAGATCTTCATCATTACTGGCCACACTGTCCTCCACGCCATTCTCAGTACTTTTCTTTGGATCCATCGGAGAGTTGAGCAATCGATGCGAATGTATCCTGCTGAATGTAAGGTGAGTAAAACAGTGAATTAGTGGCCTCTGCATGTTTTAGGGAGTACAGACAAACCACACGCCACTGTAATCTCAAATTCATATATTATTTTTATTCCAATTTCCTATATAATGCCATACCGTTTAGCAGGCAAGTCGATGTTTATAGTGGCGTTGTTGACTACAGATAAGAATTTAAACTCAGTCAGTGTCTTTAAACGAACAAGACGGGCGCTTATAGTAAAGTTACTTAAACTTGAAGCCTGGTGGGTAAGCTGACAGCACCGCAAATAATATATAACAGTTTCGAAGATTAGCCGTAAAACTTTAAACAACTCACATGCTAAGGATATAAGCAACAATCACATACAAACTGTGTGTTCACTTGGTCTCCGCGCGGGAGTCACAGGAAGTGACGTATTTTTAAAATTATTATGATTATTATTATTTGAAATAACAGTAGGGGAATACAAAGTCTTACAAAAATATGAGTCTATAAAACACTACAACCCAAAAATTTCACATTTTTCAAAGATTAACTAAATATCGAATCAGTGTTGGGGAAAGTTACTTTTAAAAGTAATGCATTACAATATTGCGTTACGACCTAAAAAAAGTAACTAATTACGTTACTTAGTTACTTTTTATGGAACGTAATGCGTTATATTACTTTTGCGTTACTTTTTAAATATGAGCAGGGCTTGATTGTTTTTAATATAAGAAGTTCTATTCATAGCAACTATAGGCTAAAAGCCCTTTCACACCAAAAGTCATTTTTGCTTATTAGTATGGTTGAACTGGATCATCAAAGGTCAGCAGCAAAGATATTGGTTAATAAAATGGGATCAGATACATTTGTGTTATTTAACATATCTAATTATTGCAGGTTTGCGTCATATTCTGAGTTTGTGTTTCAGTGTTTTAATTAATTTTGATGAATACTAAATCTGTTTTTGGTGAGTGAGATGAATTAATGCACATTAACATTTAGTCTAGAACTACAGTAACATCATGTTCACACAGCGAGCACACAACGCCTCTGTACTCTCGATTTCTCCCAATATGGGGACAGGAGAGCTGTCAGTCAATAAATGGGAAACAAAGTAACTGGCATTACTTTTTTGAAAAAGTAACTCAGATATTTTCTTGTAAATTAAAAAAGTAATGCGTTACGTTACTAGTTACTTGACAAAAGTAATCTGATTACCTAACTCGTGTTACTTGTAATGAGTTACCCCCAACACTGTGTCTAATACATCAAGTATCCTCTTTAATAGTTGAGATGTCTTAACAGCTTTACGATGGTTCTATATTGAAGTTAGAGAATCATAGAAAACATTTAAATCAATGGAAAATAGTCTACTGTAAATAAAATTATTTTATTGGTGAAATGCAACTCCATATAGTTTTTAACTATACACCAGACAGGCATAAGTTTCGGTTTTCTTTTTATTTCTTCCTGTAATTGCAAGTCAATTAATGTCATTATAAACTTCCAAGGGGGAACTTCAGAGTATGGAACTGTTGGACAGTATTGTATAGTATGTAAACATGCCTTTCTTGCTTCTGCACTTCCTATCCATCCAAAACTCCTAAAATTTGATTTATTATGTTCCCAACACTCTTGTACTATTGCCGTTGTAGAGTGTAACTCACTATGCCCTTGTATGTTAACCCAATATGCAAGCATAAGTCTTCTAATGCTTAGAGGCATCTCCCCAATTTCTACCTGTAAAGCCGCTACTGGTGATGATTTAAATGCTCCACTACATATTCTTAGCGCTTGAGTTTGCTCTGTCTAATTTCTTTAAAGAGGTCATATGATGCGATTTCAATTTTTCCTTTCTCTTTGGAGTGTTACAAGCTCTTGGTGCATAAAGAAGATCTGTAAAGTTGCAAAGACTAAAGTCTCAAATCCAAAGAGATATTCTTTATAAAAGTTAAGAGTTAACCACACCTACCTAAAACGGCTCGTTCTAACACGCCCCCACATGTCTACCTCACTATGTGGGAAGATTTGCATAACGCCGCCCAAATGTTCACGCAAAGAAAGGTGACGTAACTTTTATTCTCACTGTAGTATTGTTGTTGTCGCTGCCACCATGTCCTGAAGACGCTGTGTGTTTTGTTGTGAAAGCGAAACTACTTTGTTTGGCCTTCCAAAAGAGGACGATATCTGCTTCGTCACGCCTGGAGCTGATCCGTGCTGGTCGCTGAGGAAATACATCAACTTCGCGCTGTGGATCACCGGATCGGCTTTCACCGTGGACGAAGCGGAGTCCAGCCCGGGGTCGTCACATGTGGTTGCCGCTCCTTCGTCGGATCCGCCGGCCGCGCCGTTCTCAAGCCTGCTGCCTCTGCTCACTCTAAGCTTTGTTTTTCATTGTGAAAGTGAAACTACTTTGTTTGGTCTTTCAAAAGAGGACACGACTACAAATAAGTGGTTAAGTTGTATATACCACACTGTTCCAGAACAGTTTAACCCAAATATTCAGATGTGTGCAGCACATTTTATAGAGGACTGTTTACTGATCCTGGTAGAGTAGACTACAATGCCGGCTGTTCTGACTCAGTCTGTAAGCACGTTTTCATTTAAAGAATTTGCCACTGATGATTCAAACGCGAGTTTTGGGCAGAGTAGAGTAGCACTTGTAGTTTGTCATTTCTCCGATCACAAATGCAGACATGGTTTTATGTTTACGCGGCGCGATGCGATGCAATGCAATGCGTAAAAAGACACTATAAGTCATTATAATCCGTAATTATGTCCCCACTGGATGCAACAAATGCCTGGTTTGTAATGGGTTTGAATGTTTATGTCTCGTCGCTCTGGCCGGACACGGCATCAATAGTATGGTGAGGGGCGTAACATTTCCGTCACACGCTTGAGGTATTCGGCCAATCACAATGCACTGGATAGCTGGCCAATCAGAGCACACCTCGCTTTTCAGACCGATGAGCTTTGTAAAAATCGACGCGTTTCAAAAAGGCGGGGCATAGAGGAGAAACAATAATGTACAGTTTGTAAAAAAATAATGTTTTTTTTTTAACTTTAAACCGCATACATATTTCATTACACCAAATACACAAAATAATGTTCTTTTCAGCAACATCATATGACCCCTTTAAGTATGTTTCTGATGCTGGCATAAGCTATACACCCATAGTCAAATGTTGACCTCATAAGAACCCAGTATATATTCTCAATGAAGACCTAGTCGCTCCCCAATCTAGTCCAGACAAACAAGGCAAGACATTATTAATTTTCTTACATTTTGATTTGATTTGATCAATTTGCGGTTTCCATGTCAACTTTTCGTCTAAAAGAACCCCAAGAAATTTAGTTACCCTAACTTGTTCAAGTTCTTGGTCATTTAACTTTAATGAAATTCATGAAGTTTCTTAGAAAAACAAATTACCTGTGATTTTAGGGCTGTATTTCCCACGAATGGTTTCATTTTAACCGGCCTAACGCTGAATCCAATCCTGTTTCATAACCATGGTAATTTCATTTTTTTTTATGTTACTTTTTTCATCCCCTTTCAGTTTGTTTCAGCACATTAAAACAAAGCCATTTAGAACTTAAATACAGCCTTCAGCCATAAAACGGTGCTAAAATTAATTTACATATCTTCTGTAGCGTCTGGACCAATCAGACACACTATTTTATTATTCATTAGATTAACAAACATTCACAGACCCCTCACCCAATAAACATACTGGGTGCCAAAATGTCTGTGAACAGGGCCCCGGGACCCTGGTTACCATGGCAACCCTGACACCAGATACATTTACGATCTAATGGAATGCGAGAGTCACCCCTCCCACTACAATGTCCATAGAAAATCCACAGTGCACAGTAGAAATGGACTTTTCTAATTAATTCATAGGTAAACCTTTCTTTGAATGAACAGTGTATCCTTCAGGTCATGGTGTATGTTGTCTTTGATATTTTTAGACTATTTTATGCATGCTTATGATGGAACGCATTCCTGTCATCATTTCACTATATGTAATCCTAGTTTAGTGTCTATGAATTCGCCTTCTTTGGTTTTGATAAGATGTGAGCTCCAACGCTCCAGGACTTCCTAAGTTTTGTGCCAGGCCTTCGGCCTTGTCTTTTCCTTTCAACAAGATTCTCTGACTCAAACTGGTTCTTTTTCATCAACCAACTTCAGCAAAGATCACTGGGACTTTCAGATTGCATCAAGCCTTTCTTTCAGACAGACAAGACTTGCAAGTATTCAAACTTAAGTCTTATTAATTGATATATTAGGTATCATTTGCACCTTTGTACAAAGGTATGTTTGAACTAAGAATCTGATGTTTCCCTCAGGTGTAAATCTGCTGAATATGCAAATGGTTCAATAACTTCATATTCTTATTTCTCTTCTCTTTAAAGGGTTAAGCTTTAACCCTTTCCTATACAAACTGTGTGTGTATGTGTGTTAGACCAGTTTATGTGTTTATATAGTATGTTAGACTAGTTTAAGTGTTTATGTAGTTAATAAAACCTTACTTGTATCACACTCGACGTGGTTCATTGTTTGCTCATAACTGGAGTCACTTAATCATGCAGATTTATGCTACAAGCTTTTGTAGAATTGTACATTAAGTAATTTCCCTTAACCAGGAAATTAACGTTCTTAGAATTGACAAGACAGTTGACCCTGAGAGGTCAGCTAAATATCTACAGCGGATCTAAAATATTCATAATTAATTAACTAGTTATGATTAATTATTCATATTTCCCATGAGCTGATTCGTTACACTTCGCAGAAAATGTTTTGACTGTTTTAATGCGTCTTGACTGAAGTGTCATTTAACGAGGTCGTAAATACAATTTCCAGTGTTAGATTTGTAACACGAGCAGGTAATGTGTGAGAAGTTAAACTTTCCTCTTGCGATGAAACTCACTGACAGACTCTTAATATAGTAACTCTATACCTATTTGTCTGTCATCACAGAAAGAGTAGCCGACAGTCATTAGATCTCTGTATAATGCTCTTGCAGGATAGCAGAGATGCATAATTCTAAGATAATCTTTTTTTTTCTGTAAATAAAAAAAAAATCTGTGGCAGATAAAATGTGGCCAAAAACCACTGCATTACCTCAAAATAACCTACAAAATGAGTGTGGAACCACATTGATTTGACCAAATTCTGATTCAAATGCCAGTGAAATGTTCCCTCACCAATGCATGTTTTCTCACATGTATAAACCAAACAAATACATAAAACGCACAATTTCATTCCATTCAAAACCATTTATTCCACTTTACAATGTAAATTACATTTAATTTACATATTCTGATAATTTTTTGAATGAATGCACCATGAATGAACAGTGGGGGGTGGGACAAAACAAAACACTGTTACATATACTGAAGCCATAAATCAAAAGCCTCTCATGTCGGTCCCTCTTGGGCTGAAATCACATCACGTCATAAGTCTTGCACGTGACTGGTGTTTTCTGGCAGCAGAGCCTGCACTTCCGCCTGCCACTGCTGTTCACTGTTATGTGCTTTGCCTTGTGGAATATAGCAGGAACTGCCGAGGAGGACCCGGAAGAAGAGGGAGCTGAGGGAACCGGTGCTTAGACCTGAGGACACATTTCTGTAAGCTCTAAAATAAGCGCCTCCAGGAATGCCTTTCTGGTCAAAAGCTTCTTGTTCTTTCCCTTGGCCATTAGCTCCTGCATGATGAATGCGTTCTCTACAATGATGTCCAAAAAGTGGTAAAACACACATTGATACCACTTTCCCGGTTTAAGCAGAGCTCGGTAATGTCCAGTAATGCGATCTGATGAATCAACTACTTCCATGTTCCTGTGTGGCATAAAAAGCATATTTCAAACTCTAAAAAGATCAAGGCATTTAATGCATTAAAGGCACAGGCACAATAAAGTGAAACAAGGAACATCAAATAAATTCAACTAACCTGTTGTAGTCCAGCACCACAGCTGGAATGGGAACCTCCTTCAGGGTCCGAAGTGCATCGTCCTTCATCTTTCTCGGCACAGTATCACCTTCATAAGCTTTATGGAAGGTGGAGCACATCTGGACTTCCTGGGAGTCTTTCCACTCAACAAACAGAAGACTGCCATCCCTGATCCAGCGCATGGTGCCACGTGGAGCGTTCTTTGACAATCTGTTCACAACTGTTTTTGGGAAACCTGTCCTGTTTGCCCAAATGGGGCCACAAGCCCAGATCTTTTTATACAAGAGGTCCCTGAAGAGTGTGGGGCTGGTGTAAAATTTGTCCACAAACAATTTGTACCCAGAGCCCAACATATTTTCATCCACCAATGCCATAACAGACTCATAGCTCAGGCCCACATTCTGTGACGCACATGACTTCCCCTCGTAAATAAAGAAGTCCCACGTATAGCCACAGGTGCAGTCTGTCAGTGCAAAGAGTTTGTACCCCATATTTGGGGATTTGTTTTTCACGCAGCGCTTCAGTACAGTTCTATCCTGCGATGTGACCATTCTTTCAAGGATGGTGATGTTCTGATAAGGATGAAAAAAGGTCTTGCAGGCCTCCCTAATGACTTGATACAGAGGTTGAATTTTACCTAACCGTTCATAGGCTGCTGTTCCCTTCCTAAAGCTGTTCTTCTCATCCTCCTTGCTATCACTTAGATGAAGGGCTTTGGAGATTGACAGAAATTTCTTGTAAGACATGATTTTTGCTGGAAAGGACAGACTGAAGTGCTCAGACACACTCCAATAATCTGTCAATGAAGAGCACCTGAACATACCCATGTAAATTACCAGTGCTATGTATGACTTCAAGTCTTTATGACAAATGTAGTCCCACACTTTGCCCTTTCTCCCTTGGCACTTTGCTCCATAGTCATTAGTGTGGACTACAATGGTCTGCCACATTTTTTTTGGAAACAGCAATTGAAAAAATTGTAGAGCAGTAGTGCACCTAGTTGGTAAAATCTGTGGCCCAGGTTCTTGGACAGGTGTGAAGTCTAGATGGGGTGGCTTAATATCTGCATCATCTGAGCTATGCCACTTTTCATTTGAAATTCCAGATGAACCATCGTTTTCACTTTCCCTGCCATTTCTTCCAGTAGTAGAAGATGTGGAAGACAGACGTGATCTCTTTCTCTGCTGAGGGGTGGGCTCTGAATCGCAGTCCTCCTCTGGTGGGTATATGTCATGTGAAGGCCTATGGCATGGCACAAGAAGTAAAAAACAGAATTATCAATTAATAAAATACTCCACAATCTAAATGAACAGGCTGGCAATAAAATGACCACTCAAAGCATACTCTGAATCGTAGTCCTCTTCTGGTGGGTATATGTCATGTGAAGGCCTATGGCATGGCACAAGAAGTCAAAAACAGAATTAGCAAATAATACTTAAATACTCCACAATCTAAATGAACAGGCTGGCAATAAAATGACCACTCAAAGCATATTTGCATTGTTATTTAGTACTAAATAAAAAAGAAACTTACCCATCTAGAACAGGGTCAAGACCATCAATAAACATCTCCTCTGCGGTGCTGTCCACACTGCTGGCCACACTGTCCAGGTCACAAATATCAAGATCTTCATCACAACTTGCTGTAACATCATTTGTAGTAATTTTCTTGGGACCCGCAGTAGAATGCAGAAGATCAAATGTCGCAGACGTTTGCTGTTGCATTTTAGATGGGTAAACAAAGAGTTAGTGATTTCTTTCTTTCTTTCTGGAAGCCAGATTATACAACATAAACCAAAATTCAGTTGTGTTTTATTCATTTATTCACAACCCAACAGTTTTTCTTAAAGTGCCCCTATTATGCTATTGTAATGTTTCCTCATTTTGTTTTGGAGGTCTACTACAATAGGTTTTCATGCTTCAAAAAAAAAAAAAAAAAAAGTACATTTTAAAAAATGTCATTATATACATTGCAGCATCACTTCTTTTCATCACTGTGCCTGAAACCATTTGTTCAAGGATCTGATCTATCTAAACCTCTCCTTTCCAAATAGCCTAGTCTGCTATGATTGGTCAGATAGCCCAGTCTGTTGTGGTTGGTCTGGCACTTACAGCGTGTGTCGCAAACAAAGTAAAGCACATTGCAGCAGTGGGTTTCCCACGACTCACACCCTCACATGACCCTGGACACTTGGAATCCTAAGGCAGAGGAAATAAACCTTGCCACTTAACAATACCACCACAACAAAATTCAGTAAAGATGCGCTTATTAATTTGCATACTTTTAAACTGTGCCATGTTTTGAGGGGTCTTGCAACAGTGTCACCTTCCCCAGCGAGCCCACTTTTTCCAGAATTGCCCTAAAAAAAATTAAACAAAATTACACAATTATGAAATATGTTAACACAGAGATGCAAATGCAGTAAGGTTAGAAAATATAATGACATTGCAGGGCAGAGTCACAAAATCCTCAAATATCATATTTGGATCCCAAAATGAATTTTTAATTGGTTAAAACATGATCAGACAAAGCTTGCAAAGCATGCACAAAGCACTTTTAAAAAAATGTGGTGCCACATTCAACAATAAATAACTTCAATGCAACATTTGCTGGAAAAATGGAGAAATAACTTATAAAAAAATTATCATGAAGCATGTGGCATTTCAAAGAATATTGTATATGCATTTATTTGGGATTTTCTTTCACTACCTCAAATGCAGCTTTGCTTTTCATTTCCAGTATTTGGTCAATTTTGAGTGGATGTGTTAACGGGGCCATGAACTGAAAACTGAACAAAATTCTCTTGATCTTTTGACACATAAAATATCATTGTAGCATAAAAACATTCTGTAAGTTTCAGAACTCAAAACTTTCTCGTTAGTCTAAAAACAGCTTATATTGAAGCCAATCTGCCAAAATGACAGGTTGTGGAATGTGCCACTTTATGACGTAATAGTGTGGCTAAACCCCGCCTCCGCAGAAGATGATCAACGCCTGCTTCTACATCATTGCCTGTTTAGCCCCGCCCACTGATTTGCATGGGTAGTATAAATAACGAGAGCGGCAAATGCAGGTCTACACAGAAATCAAACGATAAAGATGGCTCCAAAGACAACAAGACACTGAAGTGCCAAGTTGTGGAAAAACACAGTCTTTGCATTGCCTTCCTTCTGATCCCAGCATTAGGAAAGAGTGGATCATCATCAGACTTTAGCATCAGTTGTCATTCATTTGTGCACATATTACAGTCATTGCATTCAGATTGGATGCGTAATGTAGCGGCACTACACCAGCAGTGGTACAGTAGCAGTCGAATGGGCCCAGCAGTGTATGCATGTTTCTAAGCCATCTTCTGAATCAAGTGCGTATCATCATTGATCATTATTCAGATTTAAAAAAAAAGTTTTTGTGCTCGGACTCTGATTTCTGCAATACAACACAATTTAAGACAGAATTTTCACAGCCAAGCAATCCTCGCTGCAGGCCTGGTTTTAAGTGTTAGAGGGTGATAAGCATCCTCAGTTGAAGCCGTAATAATATCATATTGGCGAAACAGATTTGGCAAACGAGCAGTGCCAGTAAGCATTTATGTTTGCGCTCCAGAGAGCATCAAAAGTTTCTATTTCCAATGTGTTTTTGCAGGGTTGTGTAATGTAGCCAACCAGACATATCTGTTGATTTCATGAACACAATGGCCAATCAGAGGCATAAGTTAGAATCCACTCACCGCTCAAAACGCTCGAGTTTTAGTACAGTGCTAATTTCTGTGCACTCGCGAATCCTTTTATTATAACAGTGTCAACACAATGTAAATAAAAGATTCATCGTGTGTAGAGAATAATTGATTTTGACAGAACTTTGTAAGAATGCGATGATTAGTGACAGCTTGTTAGTAATTATAAAGGGAGCGATCTTGCACCATAGTAGTGGACGGGATAAAAATATATGTCAAAATAGATTTGCATTAAGGTTAGAGCACCCTCATTATTTTCCGAAGCACCCTCAGTGATGTGATTTCGGAACCGGACCTGCCTCGCTGTCATAATACAAACAGTATGTCCATTACAGAGAGGGTCGATTTTTAACTTCTAATAATTTAACTTCTTGACAATTGTATGTAATTTGTGTGCTTATCTTAATTCATGAGAGTGGCATATTTAATCTAAATGTGTAAATATAAAGCATTTTCTTCATCGCTATCACACAGTAAAAATGTGTGCATTCCAGAGCGTTGCGGCGTTGCATACATAATCACACCGTTTTGTGTTTATAAATTCTGATATGTGTGTGACAAGGTTTATACATCAGGCCTATCTGACTGGTGCAAATGTATTTTGTATATTTGGAGAACGACTGAAGACGAATTGGAGAAGCTTTTACTTTACGTTACAAGCATGCTATATATATATATATTTTTTTTTTTCCCCCAAAGGCTTTCAAAAAGTGGTGGGGACATGTCCCACCCGCAAATTACGCCTACGGTGGTGAAGAGCTGCCACATACCAAGGGCACGTAGTGGTGTGTCGTACTTAAAAACATCATGGTAAAAACAGAACACTATGGCGGCACCCTTTCTACTTGTATGTTGGGCTGGGCAATTTCTGATTTTATCGTTTAATTTGAATGTAATGTTTTACCACAATTTTATTTTGAAATCGAGGAGCTGCGGTTTTGCACAAAATATTAGCAAACGTTACAATTAGTCATGTTGACACTGATAACTGTTAAGGGGGGGGGGGGGGGGGTTTTCA